GTCTACTTGAGTTCTTTGCCAACTTTTTAATAATCAGATTGACTTTTTTGTTGTTGAGTTGCAGGCGTTTGTTTTGTGTTCTGGGCGTTAACCTTTCCCTGGCCAAATGATTGGCAGGTGTCTTCTCCTGCTTCTTGGATTCTCAGTGAAGGTGAACCTTTTAGACGAGTGCACAGACTGCACCCCAAACCTACTTGCCTATCACAGTGCACTGGCCTGCAGTGAACCCTGAACACTGAGTTTATGGTTTAGAAAAGAGAACTCACACATTAACACCTTCTGTCTTAAAAGAAAAGCACAGTAACAGAGCTTGCAATGATGGAAACAGCTTCTTATTAAAAGGTAAAAGTTAGCACTTGCCTTTGCATGGTTAATGAGAGGTTTCCTGCCCTGGACATGCTGATAGTTTGTCAGACTTTGGTTCACACTTTGTCAAGTTGAGAGCAACACACGCAGCACTCAGGTCATCTGTTAGCCTGTTTCTTGTGTTGGACTTGATGTAATTCAAAGCTGAAAACAGCTGCTCACAAGCATAAGATGATCCAAATGAAAAGGATTCCCTAGTTTTTCATTGACTTGAAATTATTTGACAAAAAATTTTTTGTTTGTTTTTCGGTATGTATTTAATTTATTTGGTACTGGGGATCGAACTCGGGACATTGCACTTATGAGACAGGCAGCAGAACCACTGAGCCCTCAGCCCTCTTTGTTTTTTATTTTTGAGATGGGTCTTGCTATGTAGTTCAGGCCAGCCTTGAACTCACTGTGTAGCCCAGGCTGGCCTCCAACTCACAAGGATCCTCCAGCCTCAGCCTCCTGAATGATAGGATTACAGGTGTGAGCCACCACACCCGGCTCAGATTTCATTTTCAGAACTACTTACTGTGCTGTCCTTTGTCTTCCCTTCATTCCATCGCGTTCTTCAGATTGGCCTTTTTCTGGAGAAGAAAACACAGGATTGTCTCCATCTTACAGAAGTGTAAAAACTTGTTACTGAAATTCTCCTTTGCAGATGCTACAATGCTAGAAAATTCCTTATAGATTTCCTGGTGGCTTATTAGGAGTGTCTGCAAATGTTGTAGAATTTTTTCTTTTTTTGGTTTTTTGAGCCCGGGTCTCACTATGTAGTTGAGACTGACCTGGAACTCACTATGTAGCCCAGGCTGGTCTCGAACTCACAGTGATCCTCCTGCCTCAGCCTCCTAAGTGCTGGGATTATAGGTGTGTGCCACCACGCCTGGCTTGTAAAATTTTCTAAAGTATATTTAGATGTGGAAAATATTTCAGCTGCCCACTTTCAGGGTCTCTTTCAACTATGTAGCCCTTTCTCTCTCTCTCTCTCTCTTTTTTTTTTTTTTAAGCAGGGATCAAACTCAGGACCTTGCACTTGTGAGGCAGGTGTGGTGCCCCTGAGCTATATCCCAGGCCCACTCAAATATTTTGATATCACAAAATGTCCTTTCTGCTGTTGTCCCTACCTACACCTTGCAGTCTGCTGTTCACTGAAGTGTAGTGTGAAGTCTGTAAACAGCATGAGGTTGTTAGCCAGGCCGCTTCGTGAGCTTGGATGTTCCTGCTCCCTTTCATCCATGAACAGCCCGATTCGTCCAAGCAGGTTGCAGTTTTTCCAGGCTCGTCTGCTGCCCAGCCACTAGACTTTCGTGTACGCAATTAGAGCACTGTACTGTGCCTGAGCCTTCAAGAAGTGCTTGGAACAATGATGTAGCTCACCATTTTTGTGACAACTTTGAGGATATTGTCTTAATTTTTTGCTGCTTTCCCTGGCATAAAGAACTTCTTGATGTATAATATAGTAATACCTTGGTTTACAGACTTACTCTGTTTTACGATTTGGGTAAGTGGCTGTGTTTGTGTTTCTGTGGTGAAGATGGCCGTGGTCTGTTGCTGATGCAGAGTTTGCAAACAGAAGCAAAATTTTGCCAAATGCTTTCGTGAATCAAGGTACAATGAACTGAGTGACTGGATGTTTTGCTTCTTTACCAAAGGACTGTGTGAAACCAGATGTTGCTCCTGCCACACAAGGTGCCCATCACTAGTAATTGAAACCACTTTTTCTGCACACAAAAGCCTCCATCCCTTGAGTTCTGTGCAGCAAAGACACCAGCTGCACCAGCTCTTCTGTTGTGATGTCACCAACAGCCTAGTGCAAAATTACCGTTTGCCTTACGTGATCATTTATATCTGTGTTTTCATCCAAGCACACAGAGTAACAGGCTGCCTTTGTAAGTCACTGGAGAGCTGCTGACGCACCTCACTTGCTGTACACAGGACTCAGTCTTTAACAGTGTTTCTTCTGCTAAGTGACATCTCAGAGATGCGTTACATAATTTTATCATTGTTTGGGAATCATGAAAAGGGAAATTACTTCCAGACAACATGCCTCATCAGAGAGAGGCTTCTTTTTTACTGTGCACAGTGAATTTGAAAGCTGGAAGCTGTCAGATGATTTGTTTTAGAAAGATAGTTGAAAAAACTAAGAGACTGGGAATGATGTTTCCTGTTTCCCTTCATGAAACTTTTCTTTCACTTTCACCAAGTTGGGCAACGCTTTTGTGGTTGGTATCAAAGTGCTGTCCGATGCTTGATGTGTGAAGACACTTTGGACACATGCACGCCGCTTTCCTGTTGCGTTCAGTTGCTCCAAATGACTGTTCAGGCCTCTTGGGATGATCTTCCATTATCTGTCTCCAGCTTTGCCTTTTTTTTTTTTTTTTTTGCTATAGTCATTTGCTGGTGTTCAATACCTGGAGTATACAAAAACACAAAATTTTAAAAAGGAATCACCAAATAAAAAATTTTTTTTTGTTTTGTTTTGGTACTGGGAATCAAACTCAGAATCTTACTCTTGCCAGACAGGTGAGGCACCACTGAGCTAAATCTCGCCCAAAAATAGCTAACACCATTAGTCAACATTTAAAGAATTGGATATTCCCTGAATCAACTATCTGCGGCAGTGATTCTCAGCTGAGGTTCCTTTTGCATTTGTTGACCGCCAGTGGACCATTCAAATGTTCCACTGACTCCCAGCTTTTGGCCTGTTTTGAAAAAAGGCATTTGAGTTCATTTCCTACCTGGTGAAGGCTTCTGCTAAAATCACAGCCAGTTCAAGCACAAATATATGTATCTATAGATGTAGATATATATAAATATCTATGTATCTCCTTGCCCTTGCTTTGCATAAATTCTTCACAAACAACTAAATATTGTGTTATGGATTCATATATGCCAGGGGGATAGCACAACATTGAAAGAATCTCAGGGCTGGGGGTTTAGCTCAGTGGTTCCGCCGCCTGCCTCACAAGCTCAAGGTCCTGAGTTCGATCCCTAGTACCAAAAAAAATCTCAGTCTCTTAATTAGAACATCTCTGCTAAATCTTAGATATTAAACTTCAGTTTTTCATAAGAAAACTCAAAGCTAAAATCTTGTGTTAATAGAAACAAATGTATTAAAATTCACAGCTAGTCAAAGCAAATATATGTATTTATCTTCATCCTGACAGCACACTGATTGGCTGTGCAGAATCTCAGATTGGTTGAGATCATGACATCATCAACTAGCACTGCTACTCCTTTCCCAGCCTGCACATGGCCCCTGTGTGTGCTGTTATCCAGTGCTCAGCTTCTGGGCTGGTGCTGGGGTGACTTCTGCGTGCCCCCATGATGTGTGTGCCATAGGTTTGACACCACTGTTCTGTCTTTTCACTCTGTTGATGTGTCTTGTGGTGTAACTTTTAAGTTTGATATTGCCCTATTTGCCTATTTCTGCTTGTAGGGCTTTGTGCTTTTGGTGTTCATAGCCAAGAAACTGTTGCCAAATCCAAAAATCATGAAACTTCCTGTTTTCTCTGAGGAGTTTTATAGTTTCAGGTCTGACATTTAGGGCTTTGATCCATCTTCACTTAACTTACTTATTTTATTTATATGTACGCATGCATATATATGTGTATATATACACATATACTTTTTTGTTTTTTAAGTCAGGGTCTCACGATGTAGCTCAGGCTAACCTTGAACTCAGGGAGATACTCCTGCTTCAGCCTGCGCCACCAAGCTCAGTTTGAGTTAATTTTGTATATGGTATTGGTAGAGTCCAACTACATTCTTCTGTGTGTGGACATGGTTTTTCCAGCCCCACTTGTCGAGGCTGCCCTTCCCCACTGAGGGGTGGCTAGCATTTGTCTGAGGGAAGGCAGTTAGGAGGCTGCTCAGGCTCTGACTTCTTACAGTTCTTGCCTCTCCTCAGAGTGGTCCAGCCTTCCCGGGTCTGGGTCAGTAGTTGCAGGAACCCCCTGGCTGGAGGGTTCCATTCTGAGGACCAAGTGGGAGGAGCTGTTGCAGCATTTGGGTCCGTACCTCCTGTTACAGCCAGCCTTGTGTCCGAGGACTGTAAATGTCTCTAGGGAAGGTTGTTCTCATTGGACAGTGCTGCTTAGTCCTTTCTAGGCTTGTGGGCTCGTGTATCTGACCGTGGAACACAGCCGCAGGAGGGTGACAGTGCATGGGCAGCTGGTTCCCCATGTGTCCCTGGCTGTGCCTTTAGCATCTCGAGCCGCTGAGGACACGGAGTTTGTCCCTGAGTTTCTGAACCCTTCATACTCAGCCGAGTTGGTGCTCAAGAGGATGAGGCAGCTCTGCTTTTGGTGTATGTTAAAGCTTTCATTGTGTGTTATCAGTTTATAGCTGTGTATGGGGGAGTGGCACTGTGCACTGAGTTGGTGACAGTGAGGTGCTGGGCCTGAGCCCGTGCATACAGCCAGGCACCATCCTCGTTTCTACTGGTAGTTGGATGTAAACTGTTGATTACAAATGGAATGCTGGGGCTGAGCATGTAGCTCAGTGGCACCACGCCTGCCTTGTAAGTGCAAGGTCCTGAGTTCGATCCCTGGTACCAGGGGAAAAGAAAAATGCTGATTGCTACATATGTCTCTGTTTTCTAATTGTAAAATATACATATTAACATTTAAAAATTATCATTTCAGAATTTTTAGAAGGAGGAGTTGGCCATGTGGAAATGTTATTTCGCTGCAACTATTTGGCTTTAGTTGGTGGTGGGAAAAAGCCGAAATACCCTCCCAACAAAGGTAAAGTAATCACCCCATTGCGAGCCTCCTCCCTGTTAGGGTCTCTGAACTTTGTAGGCGGCTTATATTTGTGGCCGAGTGTGGTCTGTCCTCATAGCTCAGTGAGTCAGAAGGGGAAGGTTCTAGGAGGCTGAGACAGGAGTACTGCAAGCTTGAGTCCCACCTGGGCAACTCAGTGAGACCTGGCTCATAACAGTCAGAAATGCAAGGAGTTAGCTCAGTGTGAAGATTCTGGGTTCAATGCCCAGTAATAAAAAATAAAAATAAAGACAGGAGATTGCTGGCAGGTTGAGCTTCTGGCCTTGGGCAGTCCTGCTGGCTCCCGTCTCTGTGCACTCTAGGGCAGATGGAGTACATCCACTACACGGGGTCCTGCAGGGAAGGGGCCCAGCTGTGATGCTGGGGTTCAGCTTAGCCGGTAGCTTCCACGGTATAGTAAGAATTACTTTACCCTCAACTTGAGAGTGGCCAGGATCCTGCTGGTGATGAGCTGGTCGTGGAGAGTTGGCCATTCCTGAGGAACAGAAGGAGCCACAAGGGAGGAAGTGGGGAGGTTGGGAGGCTCCTCCCCAGGCTCACCCTGCACATGGTACAGGGGCACGGGACCCTCAGGCTCTGACGAGGTTGCTGTTGGTAGTAGATAACCCCAGGTCTCTCTCACCTGCAAGATCTTACTCTCCTTAAAAAAATGTAAGTTGTTTGAGAAGTAGTCCTGGTGGTGGTACATGCTTGGAATCTCATACTCTCATACTCAGGAAGCTGAGGCAGGAGGGTCACAAGTTGGAGGCCAGTGTAGGCAACATAGACTTACTCTCAAATAAAGAGAATCTGAGAAGTAAAAAAGTCTTAGAAATTGTATAAGCTTTAAAGAAGCAACATTCCAACAGGTTTTGAGTAACTTTTTTGGTATAATCTAAAGGGATTTTAAAAGTAAAATGTATTTTTAGAGTAGTTTTATGCTCGTACCTAAATGGAATGGAGAGTGCAGGGAATTCCACATACTTCCCACCCACACAGGCACAGCCACACCGTCCCGCGCCCAAGTGGGACTTCACTGGCAGGTCCTCACCCCCGCCCACTGTGCTCTGCTTGCCCTCTTGGTTGTGTGGCCCACGGGTGCTGACAGCTGTGGAGGGACATGGGTCTGCTGTCACCGTGCCTGCAGAGTAGCTGCACCACCCTGTGCTCCCTGTGCTCTGCCCGACACACTGCCATTAATCCCCCCAAATACTTGCCCTTGCTTTAAACACTTACCCTACCGTTCTTGCCACTTGCTTGTTTATTTGCCCTGTCGTGGTTGCCTCAGTGTCCTAGATCAGTTGAAAATGTTTCACCTTTCACCATTGTTTTGCCTTGGGGAAGAGCCAGAAGTCACAGATACCAGAACTGGTGAATGAGGTGGACGAGGACACAGCATTGTGTTTATATACAAGCCTGCCTTGCTGTCGGACTTTTGATCCCACCTCTAAAGACACTCAGGAAAGAGGACTGTAGAACTGCTGCAGAAAGTGGCAAGGACCCTGGGATGAGTGTTTGAACTGGGGGGTGTGAAGCAAAATAGAAAAATAGCTCCGTGTGAAGGCCCTCAGATCAGTTCCCACTCACTAGTCTAGGAAGGGCTGGCAGTGACTAAAGCACACGTGTGCGCACACGCTTCTGTGTGAGAGAGAGAAAGGGAGAGCACACGCACGTTCGAGCTAGCCTGCCGCCCTCTTGTGTTGCAGTGATGATCTGGGATGACCTCAAGAAGAAGACCGTCATCGAGATCGAATTCTCCACAGAGGTCAAGGCAGTGAAGCTGCGGCGAGATAGGTGGGTTTAGGGTCCCTGTCGGGGAGTATTTTACGTCCTGTGCTTTTCTGTCCGAGGAAACTGTCTTCAGAAATGCTGTATCAAGATGTCAGGGACTCAAGTTCATGACCGAGAATATCTAAGGCTGCTGGCGGAAGTGGGGATCTTGACTGGCTTCTGAGGCCTGCATGGATGACCCTGGGGTCCCCATCGGCTGTGGAGGTCCTGCCTCAGTTCCAGCCGGCATTGCTGAGCTCTGCTTGGTGGGAGGTTCTGAGCAGAGCGTGGAGGAAGTGCGGAGCTCCTGCCACATTCCTGCCCCCTCCGTCAGCGTAAGATTGCCATTCCTGTCAGCCATGCAAGGACAAAGCGCTGTCAGGGGGCCCTTGGTGACAGAAGCTTGAAACCAGATCAAAGATGTGTTTGCAAACTGTTCTTAAATATCAAACTCTGTATAGGAATCTGAAAGCATAATTTGTAGCCAGGCATGGTGGTGTGCACCTGTAATCCCAGCACCGAGGCAGATCGCTGTGAGTTCAAGGCCAGCCTGGAAAACATAGTTGAGACGCTGTCTCAATGGGGAAGGGGGGGAAAACACACACACACACACACACACACACACATACACACAATGACGGCACGAGCGCGCTTGCCTGCCTTCCTTTCTCAATACTGGGGGCTGGGCCTATTATTTATTTATATGTATAGACACACACACACACACACACACGTGTGCGCGCACGTGTGTGTGTGTGTGTGTGTGTGTCTATACATATAAATAAATAATAGGCCCAGCCCCCAGTATTGAGAAAGGAAGGCAGGCAGGCAGGAAAGCATAATCTGCCTCACTGGGCTCCTCCAGATTCAAAGTCTCTCAAGCTGCCTGGGACACTTGCGAGGGGCTGCTCACCAGCACTGCCCAGGGGCAGATGCCTCCCAGTGAACCTGGGACAGACCTCCAGAGGCCCCTTGCTTGGGACCTTATTCAACAATACTCCCCCTTCTGTGTATGATATTTCCCATGTTTCTGAGTTTCTAAAAGATAACAGAAGTCATAGGCCAGCACTGAGGAGGCTGAGGCAGGAGGACTGTGTGAATTCAAGGCCAGCCTGAACTATATTGTGAGACCCTGCCTCTAAAAACAAGAAAAGAAAATACAGAAATCCCTAAATGTTTGTGTCTCACTTTATGTGGAGTAGAGCTCTCATTGTCTTTTCTTTGCAGAATTGTGGTTGTCCTGGACTCCATGATTAAAGTTTTCACGTTCACACACAATCCCCACCAGCTGCATGTCTTTGAGACCTGCTACAACCCTAAAGGTGAGCACTGCACAGGACGGTGACACAGTGCCTGGTGGGGCATGGCCTGCTCTGGGAGAGCTTGGAAGGAGCTGGCTCTTCCTCCACTGTCCCTGGGCTCTGGCCCTCAGCTCTCCATCAGTGCTTCCCAACCATCTCACGCCCCAGACTTGAGTACAGGAGCTCCTGGTGGACCCTGAGCCTGCTGAGTGCTCAGGTCGTGCCCTGTTGGTAGCTGCTGAGCTCTGGCCTTAGCACTTCCTTCCTTTACTTCTGGGTAGGGGGTCTGAGGCTGGCTCAGTGGCTCTATGGGTCATCTTCATATCCTTGTAGATTTTGAGCTTTTTCTGTAGCTCTCTTGGGATGTAAACCATGCAACTCTTGTTTTTGTTTGAGGTGGTTCTTGCTATGTAGACCAGGCTGGTCTCAAACTCTTAAGGCTCGGTGTCCCTCATGCCTCAGCCTCCTAAGTAACGGAGCCTGCAGGTGTACCACTGTGCCCAGCTGCGTCTAGCTTTATACTATACAAGTGGCTGTGTCCACCACCTGGGTGGTTTGCTAGTGGGCCGTGTGTTATCACTGTCATCAAATACCTGAGCAGAGCAGCCTGCGTCTGTGGGCAGCCAGTTCTGTGGCTCTTGGGGCTTTGGTGAGGCAAAAGCGTCTGGAGGGGTGGCAGACAGCACACCCTGTGGGGCCCACGACTGCCCTGTCTGCCCCAAAGGACAGGTGATGTGAGCGTCTTTCCACACGTTGTTGCTCTGCATATCTTTCGTGAACTGTGGTTTATTTTCGGCAGTCCTGAGGATTGAACCCAGGGCCTCACACTGAGCTACATTCTCTGTTCTTTTTAATTTTGAGACGGGGTCTCACTAAGTTCTCACATGTTAGGCTTGAACTTGCAGTCCACCTGCCTCAACCTTCCAGAGTGCTGGGGTTTTAGGTGTGCACCTGTGTCTGCTTGCTTCCTAATTAGCTGATTGTGTTATTATAAGATGTTAAAGTTTTTCCTGTATTCTAGATAGAGACCTATCTAGACCTATCTATCTGCCTGACAAGCTTCTCATGTTTTATTCGCGAAGTCGAATTGCATTAGATCTTAATTTTCCTCTGTTTCAGGTTAAGTTTTTGTATGTAAGCTGTAGGCTGGGGTTCTTTTTTTTTTTTTCCTATCTGGATTATTTATATATATGTACTTTTTTCGGGGTGGGGGCGGTACTAGGGAATCAAACCTCCGGTCCTTGTGCTTGCAAGGCAGGCGGTGGAACCACTGAGCTAAGTCCACGGCCCTAGATATTACTTTTTTAAAAGACTTTCTTGCTGCACTGAACTACTTGGTCCCCTCATTTCGATCAAACCAGTTATTTCCTGGATGCCTGGGTCCTCCTCCCAGGCCACACTGTGCACCCTGCTGCCTGCCTGCCCCATCCTCCTGCGCTGTGCCCAGGGCTCTGTGCTGGGCCGGTGCCACTCTCGCATGCTCTTGAGACTTGAGTAAGCCCTGAAGTTAGGCGAGGTCACCCTGCCAGCATTTCAGAGTCCCTAGCCGTGCCCACCCTTGCCTTCCCCAGCGCCTCTGCTATCCGCGAGGTATTGGCTGTTGCTGCTGACTCTGGCAGGGGCCATGCTCCTGTCCTTCAGCCTTGTGGCCATGGCCGCAGACAGGAACTGGGGTTCTCCTGAGTAGGTCTCATGCATCTTCTGCTAAATGTATTCTGAATCATACCCTCAGGGTTTCTTGGGTGTTTTTTTGTTTTTGGTTTTGGTTTTTGAGACAGGGTCTCTCTGCATAGCTCAGGCTGGCCTTGAACTCATGGTGATCCCTCTGCTGCAGTCCACTCCAAGTACTGGGATTGCAGGTGTGCACCCCCATGCCTGGCTTCGCCTAAGCTTTTTTTTGTGGGGGCTACTGGGGATCAAACTTGGGTATTTGTGCTGCGAGGCCGGTGGTGGCACCACTGAACTAAATCCCCTGCCCACCTAAACTATTTTTTATGAAGCCTTTCCTGTTTGTATGGGGATAAAGGTGCTGGGGATTGAACCTAGGGGTACTCTATCACTGAACTACCTCCCCAGACCTTTGTTACTTCTTAATTTTGAGTCTTGGTAAGTTGTAAGTTGTCCAGGCAGGACTTGAACTTAGGATCCTCCTGCCTCAGCCTCCCAAAGTGTGGGATTACAGGCATGTGCTATGATACCCAGCCCGGAGCAGTTCATTTTATAATTTTGTGTTGCCTTCTTAGTAGCAGGTACTCCAAAAGACAGATGGAAGATCTACTCGATAATCAGTTGTTCAGGAAATGCTTCCACTTTTGAGAGTGTCTCATGGGTGGCCGCTTTGTTGTCCCTGATATCCAGAAGTCTTTAGGTTGACTTTGTTATTCTGATATAAATGCATGCTGTGCAAACAGTATTTTTTCTGAGCAGAATGGGTTTTGGTAGTGAGGAGCGGGGGCTGTGGCCTGGTGTCAGTGCGGACAGTCTCTTGTCTCTGCAGGCCTCTGTGTCCTGTGTCCCAACAGTAACAACTCCCTGCTGGCCTTCCCGGGCACCCACACGGGCCACGTGCAGCTTGTGGACCTGGCCAGCACCGAGAAGCCCCCCGTGGACATTCCTGCTCATGAGGGCGTCCTGAGCTGCATCGCTCTCAACCTGCAGGGAACAAGGATCGCCACCGCCTCGGAGAAGGTAAGTGTGCGCCGCCTTGTGAGCGCACCTGCCGGCCAGGGTGGGCATTACAGGGTGTGGGGAGAGCCAGCTGTGCCGTGCAGCTGCGCGCTAGGGCGGCACAGGGGTGCCTGAGACCTGTCCTATGGCCACCACAGGAGCCACCTCACTCTCACCTCTGTACCGCGTGCTTTTACTGCCTTCAGCTAGAATTAATTTGGATTGTGAGGCAAGAAAATTGAATCTTTACTGTAGTTTTCATGTGAAACTGCAAGCCAGGCCATCTGTGGAGAATTAGAAACTGGAGGCTGGGTTGTGGAGGGGCCCAGGGCTGGGCAGAGGGCAGGTTAGGGTCAGACACCTCTCTTTAGAATGCTTTTGGGGGTCCTGGGATGGAGTTCAAGGGTGCCACTGGCTGTCTCGCAAGCACAAGGTCCTGAGTTCCATTCCTGGTACCAGGAAAAAAACCCAAACAATGCTGTGGGACTAGCAGGTAACCTCGTGTCCACTCTTCAACACGATTCTTCTCTGATCAGAGTGTTTGCTCTTACTCCTCACCCTGCCGCCCTCCTACTGTAAGATACAGACCCCATCCCGAGGACGGGGGTGGTGTTTCCTCTGCCTTCCCATGCCGGCGGTGCCCTCCGAGCTGGGGCACAGGTTGTATCCTCCCACCACAGTGTCTCTCTAGTCGCTAGCTTCGGTGGACTTTTCGGCTCCACAGTGACCCAGAAGCCACGTTTTGCACCGTGGTCATTTCCAGGCCGGACACCAGGCAGGGCGGGAGCTGTCTGAAGGCTGCCCTCCCCTGTGCCTCACTACCAGTACCGTCTGGCTGAGGGCCTGTGGTGACCTGCACGAGACGGCAGCCTGAGGGCCAGCGGGGGGGGATGTCACGATCGGCGTGTGCAGCTGGCCGGGCTGTGCCATGGTATTGGGGTGCTGGGAGTTTCTGTACATGTTTCACAGCGGCTCAGCTGTCATCTCTGGGAGCCCTCCGCGTCCCCACGACAGGCTGTCCTGTATCCCAGACTAGGGCTAAGACAGGGTTTCCTACTTTGATAGAAGCTTACTGAGGGTAACACTTTCCGCAGGGTGGTTGTAATTCCGCTTCTGCCACTGAGGAATCTGTACGGTCAGTGGTACCAACAACTGTGCGTCCACTCGGGAAGGCGGGATGGGGTGTGGACAGCCTGGGCCTTCCGGCACGCGGCATCATGGCACTGCTTTTCCGCCTGCCTATAGGAGCTCCATTGCAGTCTTTCTGTGGACCACGCGGGTCTGGACATTGTTCTGGGGCTCTGGCCCCAGAGGCCAGGGCGTTGTGGGTCCCCCACAACCCAACAGGGCTGGTCTGTGGGGCTCAGTGCTGCAGCCTCCCTTGGAGATATCGGCTCTGGGCGGGGAGTTTGGGAAAGGGAGTGTGGGCCCGTTGGCTTGTGATACAAATCATTTCAAAGACTCGGAGTTGTGAATCGTTGATAATGAAACACTTCACTGTTTTTCAAAGGGGACCCTTATAAGAATATTTGATACTTCATCAGGGCATTTAATCCAGGAGCTACGAAGAGGATCTCAAGCAGCCAACATCTACTGGTAAGGGAGTAGCCTGCCTGGCTGGGGCTGTGGTGGCTAGGTGGGCAGTTTCAGCTCTTCATTGTTAACAATTTTTACTTTATGCCACGTGGTATATACACACAAGTAAAGGAGTGTAAAGACAGGCTCAGTGGCACATGCATATGATCCGCATGACTGGACGCTGAGGCAGGAAGACTGCAAGTTCAAAGCTTGCCCAGGCAAATTAGCAAGACTATGTCTCTAAAAACAAGGGCAGGGGTGTAGCCAGTGTCTTTGCCTGGTATGCACAAAACCTGGGCTAGGTCCCAGGCACCACCATAAACACAGCAGACTGCAGTGGTGCCTGGCCTCTGCACATTCTTTCTCCTTCACTCTGAGTCATATTTCTGTGGCATTTAAAGCAAATCCCAGAGACCTTGCTGGCTGCCCTGTCTGTTGCCATTTGAGCCTGGTGTCCCTTGGGTCTGTGGTGCCTCCCGGCTGCTGCTGAGCCGAGAGCTGGGTCCTGGCCTTGGGTGCCATGAGCTCTGCCACCTGAAGGCTCTCGGCAAGCAGACATATGGCCAGTGCCCGCCCAGCCCTAGGGCAGCCCGGCTGCCGGACTCCTCATGCCTGTGCCCAGTCCCAGGGGAGCCCCAGCACATGCCAGACTGGGTCCTAGAGCGCAGCTGTGGGCACAAGGCAGGCAGGGCATTTCTTACGTGCCACCTCGGGCAGGCGGGCGGGCAGCACAGAGGCCCTTGAACAAGCTCTAGGCCGTTCTCGGAGTCAGCATGGCATCCAGGCTTCATCTTGTCTCTCCACAGCATCAACTTTAACCAGGATGCCTCCCTCATCTGTGTGTCCAGTGACCATGGCACAGTGCACATCTTCGCAGCTGAGGACCCCAAAAGGAACAAGCAGTCTAGGTGGGTCCAGGACTGGGAGGGAGGGTTTGCTGTTGCTTCCGTGGGGAAAGGGAGGGAGGTGTGTGCTGAGTGCTCAGCTATGCCAGGGGTTTGGGCCCCTGAGGAGGGACCATGATGGCAGTGTGGCTGGAGTGGTGCTATCATAAAATCATTTCTAGCTGGTATGGTGGTGCATGCCTGTAAACCCAGCTCTTGGGAGGCTGAGGCAGGAGGATCACCACAGATTTGAGGCCATCCTGGACTGCATGTTGAATTCAAAGCAGCCTAAATGACATAGCAAGACCCTGTGTCAAAAAACCAAACCAGGGCCGGGGATTTAGCTCAGTGGTTCTGCCACTTGCTTTGCAAATCTAAGGACCCGAGTTCGATCCCTGTTATCAAAAAAAAGTCTTTCACAAAAAAACACACCAAAACAACAACAAAAAACATCAGCCAGTAGTGCCTGGCAGGCACGTGTCCCTGAGTTCAATTTTGGATTTTTTTTTTTTTAAATCAGTTTTTTTATAAGTAAAGAGTAAAATGAGGGCCAGGGGGCTGGGGATTTAGCTCAGTGGTTCCTCCGCCTGCCTCGAAAGTGCAAGGTCCCAAGTTCGATCCCCAGTAACCCCCCAAAAAAGATTAAAATGAATAGAACTGAAGAAATCATTAAATCCAAAGCTATTTACTGGAGCACTTTATTATGTTTAGCAGCTTCTGGGTCTAAGCAGGTCACACTTGTGTCTTTTCTGTTTCTTTCCTGTTTCCAGTTTGGCGTCAGCCAGCTTCCTTCCAAAATACTTCAGTTCCAAATGGAGTTTCTCCAAGTTCCAGGTCCCCTCGGGCTCTCCCTGCATCTGTGCCTTTGGGACAGAGCCAAACGCAGTCATTGGTGAGTGGCCTTCCTGGGATGGGGCCACCCGCCTGCCCGCCCTCCAGGGCTCCCAGTGTATGGGTGTGTGGTGGGCAGCATGGGTGGGTGCCAGGACGGTGTGGCCTGGGCTGCAGGTGGCTTGGTGCTCAGCTCAGAGGCCTGTTGGGGTCCTGCTGGCTGACGCACTTCGCTTCTCCTGTCCTAGCCATCTGTGCTGACGGCAGCTACTACAAGTTCCTGTTCAACCCCAAAGGCGAGTGCATCCGGGACGTGTACGCACAGTTCCTGGAGATGACCGACGACAAGCTGTGACCAGCGTGCCCGCCACCCAGCGCCCCGCAGATGCCTGGGGCTGGTGCCAGTGCCCCTGGGCCTCGGGGAGAAGGGGCTGGAGGGACTCTCAGGACTCGGGTCTCAGAGCCATCCCGGGCTGTCTGCCTTCCTGAGAAGGCTCCCATTTCCCGTATTAAAGAAAATAATCATCCAGGCACTGCAGACACTCGTAGCTCGGAAGTGCGTGCCCACCGCTGCCACCTTTTAGTTAAGCTGTGACGATAGTGATAGTGGCTCCACCCGTCCTCACACCAGCAGAGGCTGCTCAGAGCCTGGCCTCGCTGGGAGGAGGCAGTGGAGTTCATTCCCGCAGCAGATCCCATGGTCTCCCTGAGCTCTCGGTGGGCCGAGCAGGTGCTCGCAGGGCAGAAGAGCAGCCCGCGCCCAGGGACACCTTGTGCCCAGCCCTTGGTAGAGCCTTGAGGGTGTGCAGAGGCCCCGTCCTCAGGTTCCAGAGGGCGCGGCTGGCTCCTGGTTACGGTTGGGTTCAGGCAGTTTGCCCACTACACGTAGGGAATGAAGCAATGCAGAGACTTTGACAGTGAAAGGAGGCGCCGTCACAGGTGAAAGGGCTTCTCCGCAGAGGGCCTGGTATGTCCTTGGGGCCCCCGTGGTGTGAGGGAGATGCCTCAGCCGTGTGCCTGCCCCTTCCTCCACCTCCCCATCCTCTGTAAGTAGCTGCACACTAACATTTTGGGAATGAAAGGCACATACCATTTTTAAAGATTTGATAACTAAAATAGGTTATGGGCTCCACGTTGTCCATGCTCCTTGAGGTATATATTTTAATTTTTCTCAATCCCTTGAAAGCTCAATTTCATGGTTTTGATTTTCAGGCTGCAAACATGTAGAGTCTGCATCACAGCAGGTCCTCAGTTCTGCCTTCCTTATGTTGTGTAACCAACTAACTTCATACGTGGGTTTTGATGTCCAAGATGCATGTTGCCTTTATGTGTATTTAATCATGAAATTTAATTTTGCACTTATTTGTACTGTTTCTTTTAAATAAAAGTGACTAATTTTGTTGTATTCTGTACTGTGAAGAGCAGAGCAGTATGTTGTGAAGGCAGACATTGCTCTCCTTGTTGGAGAGCCCGGTTGGATGGAGCTTTCAGGACTCCCTGTGGTGCGGCTGCACTGTCCTGTCAGCCAGGACCTGGCTCCGGTCTCCGCGCTGTGACTGGGGAGCGAGTGGCTATGGCAGGTGAAACTGGCTATTTTTCCATCCCACCTGGGGAGCAGAGGCGGAGACAATGATGCTCGGGCGAGGTCCCTCCCTGTGTCCCTCTGCAGAGGGCCCCTGCTGCCCTGTGTAGAGGCGCGCCATCCTCACAGCTGGTGAACCTCACTTTCCTGGACACTGCAGTGGTGTCTTGGTAGGGCAGGGAGCAGGACAGTCCTTCACGACGTTTCCAGCACGCGGTTCCCCAAGTGGTGTCAGCGAAGGAGGCGCTACTGTGGGGGTGCGTGGATGAGGGTGCGCGATGCATGAGGACGCACTGGACCCTCAGCCCCCAGTGTGGCGCCAGTGTGGGGCCCTGCAGCTCCTGTCAGCCTGGACACCCGGGGTCCTGCTGTGGCCAGGCCCTGCACTGGCCCAGCCATTGTCTGTGTAGCAGCCTGCTGTGCCGTCAGTGTCGGCTCTTGTCCGTCCCTGTGTGTGTCCTCCATGCGGCCTGGAGATTGTGCCCGCTGCACTGGACAGCAAGAGCAGCACTGCCTCCACCTGCTGTGCTGAGCCTGAGCCTGGGATCTTTCCAGGTAGGCCTCAGACGGCATCTCCTGGGTGCACTGTCCCCCACTCCCCCGGTGTGGTGTGGGTCACAGCACACACTCCGTGCAGGACAGCAGCCCTGTGTGCACCCCGTCTCCTCCATCTGCTCCGGCAGCAGCACTCACCTTGGCAGACTTTCGCGGCCAAAGGTTTTTGTGTTGTATTTTCTTACTGCAGCCAATTCATACTCGGGTACCGGAGACAGGACAGCCCTAGCCACCAGGCAGCTCTTCCTGCAGGCCAGCTTGTACTGTGCGGGAGTTTCACGGTTCAAAACAGACTGGCCAGTACGCAGGACCCTCCTACTATAGAGGACACAGAAAAACAGTGGTGCCTCAGTTCACAGAAGCCTGTTCTGTGACTTTGGAAAAGATGGTCACAGTTGTGTTTGTGTGGCAACATTGTCACCTGATGCAGAGTCTGCAAACGAAAAATTTTGCCAAACACTTCTGTTTTCAAACAAAATTATCCGCGGACAAACTCGCTGGTGACCTGAGGTCCCACTGTACATCACTGCAGCAGAATCGCCTGTGCTCGCACCACCGGAGACCTGTACCCCCAGGCGTAAGGTGTGCAGCCTCAGTATCGATGTCCATTCTTGAAGTTTAAAGTACCACAGCGTGCTTCAGTTGCCCGAGCGTGTGTACTTGTACTCTGCTGTTATTTAGAAGTAGCAATCTGTGCATACAGACTTAAGACTTGTCTGGTTACTATCGCTGTAGATCAGGCTTTCACGTTTAGTACGTTTTCCCCCTCCCGCGAGACTCCACCTGGAGCGTCTTCACACTTGCGCTAGGACCAAGCTTTGGGCAGGTGTCCAGTCTCCGATGGCCATCTCGGGACTGGAATACATGATATGATCAAAACCAGTGAATGTGTTAAATGTATTATACTGAAAGCCCCTGCCATGAATCCCCCTTAAACTCCTCCCTTTTGCTTTGAGTAGGCTCATCCCATCCTCCTTGCCACGCTGAGGCAGTTCCTGAAGTCCTTTTTCATGTACGTCTTTATGAGGTGCAGTCAGAACTGGCGAATGCTGCTGCTGAGTGCCCCCCAACCGAAAAGCAGGCTTGCAGAAGCACACGGTCCTCCTCAACCCCTACTCAACAGGTCTGGCCCTGTATGACTTCTTGCTCTTCTGCAAAGTCAAAATGAGTGCAGAAGGGAAATGCTGCGAATCAGCTCAGGATACTGGGGCAGCTAGAGACCTCGAGGGCCAGCATGATGGGCAGGAGGCGTCTTCGGGCTCTTCCTGTCAGACAGCTGTTCGCCTCAAAGAGGCAGGTGGTCGTGCAGTCTCCTCTGTTCCTGTGGGGACTGGGAACCACAACGATTTTTAATCTTCAGCTGACTCTGCTGTTCTGAGAAAGCCCATTTGGTCTTGGTATATTATCCCCGAATGTTGCTGGATTTGCTTGCTAAGATTATTGGGAGGGTTGGGTTTTGGTTTTTGTTTGGGGGGCATGTATAAGCTTTGCAATTTATTTTCTTATCCCTGTCATGATTTTGTATCTTGGATTTCAGGGGAGTAATTTTGTACTTTTGGTGTTTATTTTATTCATCTGTATATTCAGTCATTTGTTTGTTCACGTGTGGTACTGGAGATTAAGCCCAGGGCTCTCATAGTGAGCTACCATATTTCCCTGAAAATAAGACCTAGCTGGAAAATAAGCCCTGGATGACCGTTCCGGATGCTCCTAAACCGTACCCCAAAATATGTTGCAGCTAAGATCATCAACCAGATGGATGCATTTAGTACATCTGTTGGAACGTGACAGACATAATGTTATAACATAGAATTAAATATAAATAAATAATACTCAAAAGATAGTTAAATTATAACTAAGTCTCTGCAAATACCTAAGCAGGTGCCTTTGGATGAGGGGCAAATGCCTTTGTAAGCAGACAGACTCGAGACTTACTGGCGAGGGACCACCAGAGCAGACACAGGGCACAAATAACGGGCACACTCGATAGGCAGTGGACGTGGCCGTCTGTGTGGATCCTCATAATACGTCGTGTGTCACATTGCACGTGCTTAACACACTCGTGTGAAATAAGTGTCTTGGGAGTTTTGTGTCTGCGGTTTTGTCGCTTTGGTGTGGCCCACTGTTCTTGGCCGTCGTCCTTTTTGTCACCGCTCCTGTCCCGCAAGCCTTCGGTTAACACTGATGTAATGGGAACTTTGGGAAGCCAGCCCGCAAGGGGTCGTGACGGGTGAAGAATGCTTGGGATGAGATCACTGGCAGCTGCGGGGCCAGTGCCCTGCGAAGAGGCTGCGTGGACAAGAAGAGAGCTCTGGGGCTGGACAGGCGAGGCTGGGCCGGTGGCTCCACAGGAAATGGAGTCACAAGAGATCCAGGCTGGAATTCAGGGTTTGGAGAGTAATGACACTCCAGAAGATGACTGTATTTATTTGGTTTTGGTTTTGGTTTTTTGTGACAGGGTCTCACTATGTAGTTGAAACTGACCTGGAAGTCACTATGTAGCCCAGGCTGGTCTCGAACTCAGTGATCCTCCTGCCTCAGCCTCCCGAGTGCTGGGATTACAGGCGTGCACCACCACACCTGGCTAAGGTGACTGTATTTGAATAAAGGTATGTTTTGTACATGAATAAGTGAATAAATGTAGACTGCCGTGCATGACAAAATAGGCTCCTGAATATAAGCCCCAATGCAATTTTTGCAGAGAAATATCTGTGCATATTTGAGTTATAACCGGCCTGACATAAACAGCTTGGGTTTGACTGGAATTTTTGTTTTACAAGCAAAGTCTTGAGTTATGACCTGAATGCCAGCTGCTTGTGCTTCCCGATAGTCTCAGAGATTTAACGCTTAAACAATTCTGGAAGAAACATTCCAACCTCCTGTGTGGGGTTAATTAAGAAATCCTGGGCCAGTGTCTCGTAAAGACTCATCTGCCCGTGTACGGGAGAGACTTTGAAGGGTGTATACAGGATCCTGAGCCTTCAGTTGACCAACCTGAGTTACAACCAGCCCTCAGGAATGAACTGAGTTCACAAATCAAGGGTCTGTGTCTAAGGCCCAGGCTGGTTTCTGGGGTAGTGCGGTAGTGCATCCATCCCAGCCTCTCCCACTTGCTCTTCCTTGCCCCTACCCAGGGTTTCAGAAGCATCCAGCTAGGCTCACACTTCGGTCCTGCTTTGTCCCCTGTAGTGCTGAGATCACAGGTGTGTGCCACCACATTTAGCTTTTGGCCATCAATTTAAAAACTATTTGCTCTATGCAGCATCCATCTAAATGGAGGTATACACTAGATTCTTTTTTCTAATTTTGCCCTGGGCTACACCACCAGGCCCTAAACCAGGTTTAATGGCCGAAGTGGGCGGGGACAGGGCAGTTACTGCAGGGCCTGTTTGGAGGGCTGTGTCTAAGGCAGCCCCCGCCTCTGCAGCCAGCGATTCTCCTCCCTCCGCTCCCCCTCGGCCTTCTGTATCACGGATTCTCCTTTCTGGTGGCAGCTGCACATCTGCTGTGAGCTGTGAGACTGCTTCCTTGTGTGAGCAGAGCGGCTCGTGGGCTGGTGGAGAGGCCAGTGCAGGATCTGTGCAGACCCTGAAGAGAGCATCTCCTGACCTCTAAGCAGCCCTGGAGTCCATGGAGTTCACATTTCCTTTGTTTCTGCTCCCCATGAAGGCTAGGGGAGCTGACCTGCCAGATTTCCAGCAGCCTGCCCTTTATTTTTGGTTTCTGGTACTGAGGATTGAATCCAGGGAAGCTCTACTACCAAACAACACCCTCCCCTCCCTTTGAAGCAGGTTCTCTAAGTTGATAAATTGCCCAGGTTGGCTTCCAACTTGGCAGTTCTCCCGCCTTGGCCTCCCAGAGTGCTGGGATGAGAAGTGTGCACCACCACGCCCAGCTTACTGACCATCTTTAAGAGTCCAGTTCACTCCCAATGTTGTGGATCCCCCATCATCAGGGCCAGAACCCCACACCCAGCAAAGCCCACCCCCAGCCACATCCTGCCCTGGCTTTGCCTGCTCCTTGGCTTCCTGAGGGTCGGCCTCACTGTCTGGCTGTTTAGGTCCCTTTCACGTTATGAGAACTGTCTGTTGCAGAGGCTTTAAGGTGCAGAGGGGCCCTGGGTGCTTCGGGTCCCAAGGAACAGCGGCTGCTTGTTGATTTACTGTGAAGATCACATACCCGACGACCCCTATACCCCACCACAGCCCACAAATGCAGTCATCAGCTGACCGTCTTC